GTCCTTGAACCGAAGAGCTCCTCAGGGCCAAAGCCAGGATTACACTTCTATATGCATCTGCAAAGCCTGGAGCAGGACAGGGAGCTGGGACTCACGCCTATCATCTTAGCTACTCAGGAACCTGAGATCTGAGGATCACGGTTCAAAGTCAGTCTGGCCGGAAAAAATGTGGGGGACTCTTATCTCCAAGGCATCACCCAAAAGCCAGATGTGGAGCTGTGACTCAAGTGGTAGAGTGCCAGCCTTGAGTAACAACAAAGCCAAGAGAGAGTGAGAAGCCCTGAGTGCAAGCCCCAGTACCCCCAGCAAAAACAAAACAGAAGTAAACCACCACATAAACCCTGTGGCGGCTGCCTGGCTCTTACTAAGTGGTGGGGTGGGGGTGAGGGGGCTGAGTGCTGTAAATGTTCCTTTGGGTCACAAGTAGCTCACCTGCCTACTGCCCACTGAGCTCTCCTCTCCTTCCCTTCCTGCAGGAGCTTCAAAGTCTCTGCTTATGGTGCCCTGCAAACCACTCAACTCCTCTCTGCTGCTCAGCGCATGCTGGGGACACTTTACTTGCACGAGAGGAGCACTGTGAAAGGAGTCCAGTTGTGCTGTTGCACTAGTTACCACAGGCAGTTCCGTCCTGCTAGGAGAGTGGGTTCTACAGTCTTCAAAACAGTTTGCCTCTGGAATAGAAAAGGCCTTATAAGTCCGTAGTCAATGTGCAGTGATAATTAGCGACGGCTTACATTTCCCAGCAGAAGGCGGGTAAGTCCTATGCAGCCCAGGAACCAAGTAAGCCTTGTTCAGTGGTCTTCTAGTCATCACATTGTAAAAGGTTGGATCCTGCATGAGAAAGGAGAAGCAGCGGGAAAGATGGACAGATGGACCAAGGAAGGCCATGCATGGATCTCGGGAACATAAGAATGTAGTGTAGGAACACAGAGGCATCCCGGAGCTGTGGGAAGGAGGGATTGTTAGATCAGTGGTGCAGACACAACTGGCTTTAAGTGATTTAAAAGTCATAGAGTTCCATCAGCTGTACATCACGCACCAAAGATTAAAATGCTTACTAGTGAGTTATGTAGCTGGTATGATGGTACACACCTGTAATCCCAGAACTTGGAAGATTAAGGCAGAATGGTTGTGAATTTAAGCCCGGCTGGGCTACACAGTGTGATTTTTCTCAAAAATAAAATGACTGTAACAACAAAACAAAGAACGGCAGTAGCAAATAAGAATTATATATAAATCAGCTGAAAAAATGGAGAATAACACCCAACAATAGGGAATTGTGGAACCACTGTACTTCAGTACAATGGACTATTATCTAGTTGTTACAGTTGTTATGGAAAAACCATAAATGATCAGGACCTATCATTAAGTAAAATAGAAGACTTGCCAAAATTCAGCAGCCAGTATAGCCTGTACAGCTCTAGAGAGAAAACACAGTGGGGGATGGTGGGGGAAGACTGCTCCATGCAAATCTTATCTCCATTTCCTGAAGAAAAATACAGCCAATGGTTTGTTCCTCTCAATAAAGAATTTTCTCCTATAAGCTGAGGCACTGGTGGCTCACATGTATAATCTAAGGATCATGGTTCATGGCCAGCCTGGGCAGTAAAGTCTGTGAGATTCCCATCTCCAATTAACCAGCAAAAAGCTGGAAATGGAGCTGTGGCTCATGTAGTAGAGTGCAAGCCATCAGTAAAACAAACAAACAAGCCCACAGAAAACAAGCAACTAAGCAATAGTGAAAGGCCCCAATACTGGCATAAAAATTCCCTTAGGATTTTGGGATGTCATTCAGTGGTCCAGAACTTGCATGTATCAGGCCCTGGGTTGCAGCCCAGCACCTCACAAATTTTTTCTCTAAACATTTGGTGTGTATAGTTTCTCTGATGTATTAGCATCATGTGTGGTCCTGACTATATATATAGGGAGATATATGTATATGTATATATATCGAGAGAGAGAGAGAGAAACAGAGAGAGACAGAGAACTCAATTTTGTTACATAATCACTTCAGAACACATTCTGACTCTCACAAGAATGAAGATAACATCTTGGGTCCCCAAAGTAATTTTGCAAACCACCCTCCCACCCCCACCCCCACCCCCGCCAGCTTGGGACCACTGTTCAGAAGCCTCAAATTGGAATCCCTCATGCAACTTTTAATATTTCCAGTGGCAAGATCATATCCCTCACCACTAAACTCAGTGTCAGTAGGGATCCAGGAATAGTTGAAAGTCCCTCCAGGTGATTTTAACTGCAGCCAGGTTTGGGCCATTGTTGCTAATGGAAACAGTCTGATACCAGCCAGAGACAGGAATGGTAAAAGCTTGGTGTTTTTATGTCCTCTGTCTCCATCTACTGGCCATTCTACCACACTGCTATAATTTACCTATACTCTGGGTACCCAGGACCGGCTGTTTCTTGCGCTTTAAAAAAGAATGGACAAGTGAACTTGGTATTAGTGGCTCATACCTATAATCCTAGCTACTCAGGATGCTGAAATCTGAGAACTGTAGTTTGAAGACAGCTCAGGCAAGGGAGTTCATGAGACACTTATCCCCAATTAACCCCAACCAACAGCTCCCTCCCTCTCCTCCCCTCCAACCCCCAGCAGTAGAGGTGTGGCTCAAATGGTAGAGCACTAGCCTTGAGCAAAAATGCTCAAGGATATTGTGTGGTGCAGTGCTGGCCATGGGTGGACAGATGTGATCTGTACAACAAGATGTAGTCACTTTTTTTTCTCTCTGTGATAGTGGTGGCGGGGAAAAGGAACCAGAGTCCCAGTGTGCCATTCAATTTCTGACAGTCTCCCTGTGGCCAAGTCAAAGAGGAAAGAGAGGAAGGACAGGGCAGTGCTTGCTTGCTGCTGCAGCCTATTCTTTGGGCAGAGGTCAACAAGCCAGAGGTCCCCTCCTCTGATCTATAGGGGCCAGAGACAAGGCTTCCAGCTCTGGCTGTGTGCCTCGGGTACCACCTGTCATTTTGGTCAGTTTTTGAGTTTGGGACAGGAAACATTAGAGGGGAGAAGCTGGTAAGCCGACTGTCAGTTTGACTTCTTCCTTTGCCTGGTCTTTCCTAACTGCTGGATGGAAATGTTCCCTTACGACACACTGATTTAGGGAGAAACTCCTCTTTCCCCCTGCTTTATGGTGGTTATACGCCAGACTCTGAATTTTGTGTGTGTGTGTGCTGGTAGTGGGGCTTGAACTCAGGACCTTGTGCATTTGGTTAACTCTTTTGCTCAAGACTGGCGTTCAGTTGGATGTTGGTGGCTCATGCCTGTAGTCCTAGCTACTTCAGGAGGCTGAGATCTAAGGATCATAGTTTGAAGTCGGCCAGGGAAGGTAAGTCTGTGAGACTTTTTTTTTTTTTTGTCAGTGGTGGGTCGTGGGGCCTGAACTCTGGGCCTGGGCGCTGTCCCTCAACTCTTCAGCTCAAGGCTAGCACTCTACCACTTGAGCCACAGCACCACTTCCAGCTTTTTCTGCTTATGTGGTGCAGAGGAATTGAACCCAGGGCCTCAGGCATGCAAGGCAAGCGCTCTACCACTGAACCACCTTCCCAGCCCGAGACTCTTATTTCCAATTAACCACCAAAAGGCAGGAAGGAAAGATGTGGCTCAAATGGTAGAGCAGCAGCATGTGTGTGTGTGTGTACGTGCCCGTGCATACACATGTGTGTGCTAGCTAGTGCAGAGGCCTTGAACTCAGGATCTAGGTGCTGTTCCTTAGCTTTTCACTTAACGTTGGTATTCTACCACTTGAGCCACACAACTATCTCTGGCTTCTTTCTCCTAGTTACTTGGAGATAAGAGTCTCATAGAATCATGTCCCTGGGTTAGCTTTGAACCTTGATTCTCAGATCTCAGCCTCCTGAATGGCGAGGAATCCACTTCAGAATCATTTCCAAAGAAGAGCAAGTTTCCAAAGAGTTCTAGCTGAGTGTTTTTACTTGTTCTAATTCTTTGGAAACTGGTTCTCTATCACTGGGAAACGAAGACTGGTGAGCCTGGCGGCTCTGTTCTTCAATCACTGACTAGACAGCAGTTTAGAGGACAAAGGGGAAGGGCAAAGAAGAAAAAATGTACATACATGACCTTAAATTCTTCAAGCTAAAGAACAGTAATTGGCAGCACCCGTCTTGTGTATCCTGATTCTTACCCATGTCAAATGCAAGTGTGGAATCCTTCAATATATCCCTGAATTTTTCTTTTTCTTTTTTTGTCAGTTGTGGGGCCTGAACTCTGGGCCTGGGCGCTGTCTCTCAGCTCTTCAGCTCAAGGCTAGTGCTCTACCTCTTGAGCCACAGTGCCACTTCTGGCTTTTTCTGCTTATGTGGTGCTGAGGAATCAAAGCCAGGGCCTCATGCATGCAAGGCAAGCACTCTACCACTAAGCCACCTTCCCAGTCCTATCCCTTAAGTTCTAATAGAGATGAATTCCAATAAATTGTTGACAGTCAAGAGACAAAAAAGTCTATATGTAAATAATTATTTGGCAAGAAATTACTTTCATGTTATCAAAATTTAACTTAAAAACCTCTCTTTGGGGCTGGTAAGGTGGCTCAGTGGTAGAGTACTTGCCCTGCATGCATGAGGCCCTGGATTCGATTCCTCACCACCACATAAGCAGAAAAAGCAGGAAGTGGCATTGTGGCTCGAGTGGTAGAGCACTAGCCTTGAGCTGAAGAGCTGAGGGACAGTGCCCAGGCCCAGAGTTCAGGCCCTGTGACCACCACCACCATCACCAAAACAAAAAACAAAAAAGAAAAACTCTTTGTAACCAGGGCACAAATTACAAAGTAACAACAGGCTTGGAGAACTGTGCTGAAGGCTGAGCCCCTCTTTGGGGTGGGGGGAGGGAAGGCGGAGGGGAGAGACAGGCTCTGGTCTTTGAAGCTGGTGGTATGAGGAGTTTGGATGAGTGTGATAGGCCGGGCCAGCATCTGCTCTGCTCACGAATTCTATGGAGGCTGCTTAGTGAAAAGAAGACATGACAGAAATGTTTTTCATCCATTTACTAGGAAAATGCCAATTCTTGGAGACACACCTACAACATTCTAATTCCTAAGTCTTTCTATGTTTTTTTTTTTTTTTGCTGAGACCTCTGATCTGCTCAGCCACAGCATACCCCGACTCCTGCTTGCCCAGGGTGGAGGTTCCAGCCAGCCTGACCATTGCCTGTGTAGTGGACCTACTCTCCACAGTGGCCAAGCCTTTTGCAGAGAACTCAAACAGCTGTTAATTCCTTCTAAATGGGGTAGGTGGGCTGGTCCTGCCCTAAGATTAAACCCCACCTAACATGCACTCAAGCCTGGGCCTCCTATTTCCAAACATGACCTCTGGAAAGTGGGGTGGTACAGTCACCGATTCGATGACTCAAAGAGTGTCACTTGTGATCCTGAGGAATCACAGTAAATACTCAGGATATTGTCTAAGAAGTCCACGATGGCCCCTTTTGCTGTGTCTCCAGCCAGTGCTTGCACACTGCTTATGTGCTGCAGGGCCGTTCTGATCATTTGGTCTCGTTCCTGTGTTGTGTGGGCTGCTCTGGAGTCATCTCCCTTGTCTCCTGACTTCAAAAACTGCAGGATAAAGGGTTGGACCATATCCCCATTCAGCTCAAGAGTTTCTTTGATGCAGGGCAGATCTGAGGGGCCAGCCAGGCTCAGGAGGTGAATCAGTGCCTGGCAGATCTGGGTCCGCAGGCTGGCGCAGTACTTGAATTCCAGGAAGTCCGTGGTGTCTTCACTCTTGTGCAAGGCAGTGAGCAATGCTTTCCAGATCTGAGCGTATTGCTCCACAGACCCGTACCGCTCTCTCCTGCTCGGGATAGAAAGGGCTGTAGCAGATCTGATGCGCACTTTGAAGTTCTTGCATGATGTCACCACTGATGTCAGGGCATGGTAAGCCTGGGAGGTCCATGCGGCTGTTCCTAGGAAGAATCCACAGTCCCTATAAGTAGTGAAGGCTTAGCAAGAAGTGGGGTATGAGAGGAGAAGTGGAGGAGGCGTGTGCCACAGTGTTAAGATGTAATCTCATGTGATCAGAGCAGGGAATGGACCCCAGGGATCCTCTGTAACACTGTGACAGAGGACATTGTAATCAATGTCCTTAACAACTGGGTAGACTGGCACGTGCTTTCCAAAGAGGTGCTTCATCAGAGGAGAGGGGATGTTCTTACCGAGTGGAAGAGCAGGATTTTTAAATACATTTCCCATCGCATAGCAAGCATTCCACCGCACTTTCATGGCAGCCTCAGTAAGAACAGTAGAAATCAGGGCCTGGATAGATTCCTCAATGATTTCAGCAAATCTCGGTTTTTCTATATGCGAGGGTTGCAGAAAATGAAGCAAATTTCCAAGGGCACGGACTGCATTGCTTTTTACCTAGAAGATGTAATAAACAGCTTTAGAAATTTGTTTTGTCAGAGATGTTTCAGGAGAGCCTAGTGGAGCAGAGCTCTGGGCCAAATAGAGCATTAGCCTCAAGTACAGTGCCTAAGCCCAGAGTTCAAGCTCCAGGACAGAGACAGATTTCTCTAAGCAAGAGAGAGTTAATGTATCCTGGAAAGGTATGGAGGCCTGAAAGGCCATGTCTGTTAACCTCCTGAGCCCTCAGAAAGTGGAGGTCTTGCAAAGTCCCTTCCTGATAGGCTGGGAATGTGGCTCAGTGGTAGAGTGCTTGCCTTGCATGCATGAGGCCCTGGGTTTGATTCCTCAGCACCACATAAATAGAAAAAGCCAGAAGTGGCACTGTGGCTCAGGTGGTAGAGTGCTAGCCTTGAGCAAAAAGAAGCTCAGGGACAGTGCCCAGGCTCTGAGTTCAAGCCCCAGGATTGGCAAAAAAAAAAAAAGCAAAGTCCCTCCCTGAGATTTTTTTTTTTTTTGGTCGATTGTGGGACTTGAATTCTGGACCTGGGCGCTGTCCCTCAGCTCTTCAGCTCAAGGCTAGTGCTCTATCATTTGAGCCATAGCGTCACTTCCGGCCTTTTCTGTTTATGTGGTGCTGAGGAATTAAAGCCAGGGCCTCATGCATGCGAGACAAACACTCTACCACTGAGCCACTTTCCCAATCCCTTCCCCAAGATTTTTAGTGCTAGCCTGCATCTTAGAGATTTTAGAAATGAGGCCTGAGGCCTACCAACCCCGCTGGTCTACAGCAAGGCAAGGAGGAGCTAGGCTCCTAACTGTAGCCCTTTGGGTTCTACTGCACAGAGCTCTTAACTTCTGCAGCATAGGAGACTCATCTAGGCAGGTGTTTGGGGTTTGTTTTTATACCAACTTCCAGACCCTGAGGCCAGAATTCTGGCTGAATTGCTTTACAGTTGACTACTATTACCAGGTTTTCAGAACCACTGGAGTAAATTAAGCTCTTAATTTGGAGAGGTCCTGTACTAGGTGCTTTACCATAAAGGATCTCCAAGTGACACGTTCACAAGGACTTCCATGTTGCAGTAACCTGGAGAGAAGCTAGACAATACAGTAAGGTCTCCCTATCTATGCAATAAAGGACATTCAAAGTCAGGGGCCCCTTATTGTTAATTCCATCTAAAAGGTGTTTGAGGCTTTTTTTTTTGAGGGGGTGAAGAAAACAGTGGATGACTATTAAAACAAATACAATAAATCAAAATACTGTGTGGGTGTAATACGGGCCATTTTACACTTTGCGCACACTTTCTGCATGCTTTGAGCACAAGACAGCTAGAGGCCCATCATAGCACATGGTGGGAGCTTCCAGCATCACAGGGTCTAACAAGCAATACTAGGTTTTGTTGGGAGTCTACCTTGTCTTTGTCCTTGGAAGCATCTATCGCCGATCGCAACATTTTTAAGAGCAGGAGTCCAGAGAATTCTTCCTGGAAACTCGGGTCTGGTGTTTCCCTGTTCCACCCAAAGCACACAAAACACGTTAAAAGAAGTCTCTACTTAAAATATAAGCATATAAAAAGATATTCATTAAGTATAACTATGAAAACTTTGGAAAAAGAGCTTAACAAATCTGTTCAGAACACAGCAAGAACTCATAGTATGTTTTGTTTTGAGAGAGAGTCTTTTGATATACCCCAGGCTGGCCCTGAACTCATGATTGACCTGCCTCGGTCTCCTGAGTGCTGGGATTACAGGCATGTACTATCTGACTCAGGAGTTTCCTATCTAGGAATGTATCCAAAGGGAATATCTCAGAACAGAAACTTTGTGCACAAACATGGTCACTGCTTCCAGAGGCCTACAAGCTTAAGTGCTAAAACAGATGCAGAGGAACAGGGGAATGGCTAAAGACTCATCACACAGCAGTGACTGCACAGGAAGGCAGCAGGGTAGGAGGGAGGTTTTATACTGAACACCCATTTATGCTATTTGATTTTTTTTGTTGGTTGTCAGGCTTGAAGTCAGGGTCTAGGTGCTGTCCCTGAGCTCTTTTGCTCAAGGCTAGCGCTCTACCACTTTGAGTCACAGTGCCACATCCAGTGATGAATTGGAGCTAAGAGTCTCACAGAGACTTCTCTGCCCAGGCTAGCTTCGAACAGCAACCCTCAGATCTCAGCCTCCTGAGTAACTAGGATTATAGGCGTGAGCCACTGGCACCTGCGAGTTTGATTTTTTTTTTTTTTGGTTGGTTGTGCGGCTTGAACTCTGAGCCTGGGCTCAAGGCTAGCACTCTACCACTTGAGCCACACACAGCACCATTTCCAGTTTTCTGGTGGTTTACTGGAGATGAGTCTCACAGACTTTCCTGCACGGGCTGGCTTTGAACCATGATCCTAAGGTCTCAGCCTTCTGAGTAGCTAGGATTACAGACATGAGCCACCAGTGCCTGGCTTATTTGTATTTTTTTTAACCTGTTGAATATTTTATTTACAAAAATACAAACACTATGTTTTTAAAATATGGCAACCATTACTAAGGTTTTGGGTTGTGTGTGTGTGTGTGTGTGTGTGTGTGGTATTTGAGTCTGAACTCAGGACTACAGTCAGCCATACCCCTAGCCTTGGATTTCTTCTTTTATACTTCCTGTAATGTACATGTATACCTACATATAGTACTTAGTATATATCATAATGTATTTCTGATTTATATTAAGAACAAGTTATTAACTTTAATTTTTATTTTTTATTTTTTTGGGGCCGGCCTGGGCGCTGTCCCTCAGCTCTTCAGCTCAAGGCTAGTGCTCTACCACTTGAGCCACAGTGCCACTTCCGACTTTTTTCTTTTTGCTTATGTGGTGCTGAGGAATCGAACCCAGGGCCTCATGCATGCAAGGCAAGTGCTCTACCACTGAGCCACCTTCCCAGCCCCGCTATTAACTTTATTAAAGGAATACAAAATAAGAGCAGTAAGGTTGACTATAGAATATGGAGAGGGTCCCTGCTAATTCTTTCATAGTAGGGATGAAAGACACACTCTTGGGACTTTTGCCTGAGAAGTCACTCAAGAGTATCTGGGCATGGTGATAAATGTCTATAATCCCAGCACTCAAAAGGCTGAAGCAGGAAGATCACAAGTCTAAGCCAGGGCTAGTAGTAAGACCCTGTCTCAAAAGAAAAAAAAAGTCACTCAGGAGACAAATGCTGAGTCACCTACATGTTGACAATCAGAGTATCTGTAAGGTTGCCCAGGGACCAAGCTGCCTTGGCACGAACGTTCAGAGACTTGTCTTGAAGTGACATCAATATGGCATTTGCTGTGTCTGCAACAAACATGGCATCCTGGAAGACAAACCAACAAGTGCATCACTTTAGGAGTTCACGGGGTTGCCTCTGGCCTTCTCACATTTATCTTCACATAAAGATAGAAAGAAAGCCTTGATTATACATTTCAATTCGGAAAATAAAAGTCACTTACTTAACCAATTACTCATCTTATACATTGCACGCTAGCCCCTCACTACAGTCCAAGGGCAGCTCCCAGTACTTTGGCATGAGGCTTGATGGGCAAGGTGCCGCTGGGCTTCACTGCTGGGAGCCTCTCAGAACCTGTGACCTCTGTGCTGAGGCTGGTTTTTACCTCCAGGAAAAAACGTTCTGAGTACATTTCCCCAAACATATCCTCTTCAGTGAGAGAAATGCCACACGTGATAGCAAGGGAGAGCTCTATTTCCTTCTTAGTAAACCTCTGTATCAGCTTTCTAAACTATTACTATTTCATTTCATCCAAATTGTAATAGTAATGGGAATGTCCCATTTCATTCTTATTCATTCAGTAATTTTAAAATGTACTAGATATCAAGTGACTCAGCCAGTGTGCTTAATAACTAAAAATAAATGAATGATAGGTATTTACTATATTTAAAGAACACTAAAGGAAACCAGATTACAAAATAAGTCGATTTCCTTTACTGCCCAACATGGGAGCTCTACAACCACAAAAGACTGGGGCGCAGGAGAACAAAGCAGGCTCGCTCTGACCTGTCTGAGACAGGGAAAAAGCACGTAGACTCCGAGGGCGCGGGAGGTGGCGGCTTTCACTAAACGGTTCCTGCTGTCATTTAGGCCAAGCAACACTGTGATGCACAGAATCTGTCTGTCGTTCTGTAATCAGAAGATGGACAAAAGGAAAAGCAACAGTAAATACATGCCCATGTTGAAGTTCATATTCAAGGGTTAAAGAGCAACATGGCTGTGATCTGGAGGCTGCTCTCCCTGGTAAAAGGCAGGTGTGGTTCCGATTCTGAGTAGCTGAGCACTCACTCTGGAGGGCGCCTGCAGCATCTCTCCTGAACCCATCAACTATGTGAACTAGGTCAGGATTATCCTTCTAGTTCATGGATGCAGCCTTTTTTCTAAGAGCTATGCTTACATATACAAGTGCAGACATAAATACCACTGCGGACTATAGGGGAACATTTAGGACACTGCTGCAGAGTAATGCTTACATCATCCCAAAATGCATTAGGTGGCAGGCCCTTTCAGAGGTGATTGGGTCGGGAAGGCCTGACCCAAGGCCCCCCATAGCAGGGATTCCATATCCTTACAAATGAGGCTCTAGACACCAAGAGCTCTGGAAGGCACTAACTGGGAAGTAGAAAGCCAGACTCACCAGATAACAAATCTGTGGGCACTTCCCAGTCTCTTGAACTGTTAGAAATAAATGTTGGACCTGGATTTAGTGGTACATGCCTGTAAGCTCAGCAACTTGGGTAAAAGCAGCATGATCATGAGTTCAAGGTCAGCCTAAGTGAAGGTAGAGAGGCCCTACCTCAAAATCAAGAGAACTTGCCTACATGTAGGAGGATCTGAGCTCAATCCCCAATATGCCTCCCCTATATGAAGTTCTGTTTAGAAATCATCCAGTCTATGATATTTTTATTATCTAGAATCTCAGACAGACTAAGCTAGATACCAAGTTTTTTTTTTTCACATGATTTACATTATTTCTCACGACTTCCATTTTAAGATGATAATACTAGGTTTTAGAGAAATAAAGGTGATCACAGAGGTAGAAAGAGGCCTTCTGATCTCTGGGTATGGTAACTAGCTGAAGTGGCTCTGCCTGATGCTCGCGTACAAGTGCCACCTCCTTTCTGAAGCACACAGAAAAACACGGAAAGATTTTCTATTTTCTCATCTGCTCCTCTCCCCAAACTCAAGTAGATGCTTTTTTCCTCAGAGATAATGTTGAAAATGGTTCAAAAAGGGCTGGGAAGGTGGCTCAGGGGTAGAGTGCTTGCCTTGCATGCATGAGGCCTTGGATTTGATTCCTTAACACCACATAAAGCAGAAAAAGTTGGAAGCTGTGCTGTAGCTCAAGTGGTAGAGCGCTAGCCTTGAGCTGAAGAGCTGAGGAACAGTGCCCAGACCTAGAGTTCAAGTCCCACAACCAGAAAAAAAAAAAAGGTTCAAAAAAAAGAAAAAAAAAGGATCAAACTTGAGCCCCGTGACTCAGGACATGGCTGGAACGTAAGGAAAAGGCTGTTACCGGCAGACTGCTGAAGGCCTCTGGCAGGATGGAAGACAGGGCATCGCAGGCGCTCGCCTGGAGAGTCGGGTGCTCTGAGCTCTGCAGGGCTCGGGGCAAAGGACCATTCAGCATCATGGTCCAGAACGTCACCACCTGGAGCAAAGATACAGTTATAACTGCATACACAGACACACATCTGACCTTAGGTAGGAGACATGTTTCCTTAAAATGGCAGCTTTTTGTAAACCCTTTCCCAAGTTCTTCCACAGTGACCTAGTCAAATCTTTGCATTTTATCAAGTAGGAGACTGTGGTGCAATAAAGCCAAGCAGCAATAGTGACAACAATGAGGAAGAGGATGGAGACGGCAATGACAGTAGTAATAGTACACATGTGTTTCTGAAGTGCATATTCAAAGGGCATCAACTCAAAATAAATCCTTTTGCTTGCATGACTGAGAATTCTATAGCAGTGTCTTCACTTTAAGCATGAAAACAGAGACACAAGGAGATAACAGGAATCAATTAGAATCTAAACCTTAAATCCAGCTAAGGCTCTTCAACCTCATTCAATGTAGATATAATCCTACTATACACTGAATTACAACAGTTAGTTTCATGGTTTTGTTTTTTTCCAGGCTGGGGATTGAGCCCAGGGTCTCATTTATGCTAAGCAAAGGCTCTACCGCTGAGCTGCATCTTGAGGTAACAATTTTTGATTCTGAGAGAAAACATACTGTGCACTTTATCACTGAGTCTCAGAATAAAAGTGCTGCTGAAGCACCAAAAAAGAACACTCTGGATTGATGTTTCCATACCAAGAAGACTGGTACTCTCTGCTCAGGGTCTGTGGGAGAATCTGGTTTATACTGCTGTATTAAGCCTGTACCCAGTTCTTCCAGAAGCTGCCAGAGAAAAAGAAGTAACCATTAAAACAGAGCATTCAAACTGTGGAGGTAAAAACAACTTCAGTTTGGAGATCACCTCAAATCAAGAAGAAAAGTAATGGCTAACTGATTTTCCACCTTTTCTCACAAACCCCTATAGCATTGGAAGTCTTTCGCGGAGTCAAAATGAGAGTTATAGTTGTTAACACCAAAATCAGTTCTTTTGGTTTATAGGTAAGAACTGAAAATAGAGGTTTCCTTCTAAGAAAAAGCACACATGGCTTTAAATGAAATTACCTTGGCCCCATGAAGCTGAATGGATGGGTCTGCTTCCCCCATGCACTTACAAATCACTTCACCAAGCTCCATTAGGTAGAGCTGGGCCATTGAGAAGTAGCCCCTCGCCAGGTGCGCCAACAGCTACAAAGACAGCAAGGAATTAACTCCATCATCAGAAGGCAAAGCTATCATATCTAGAAAACTGCTTCAATATTTCAAAAACCAGCTACCCTTACAAAGGGTCTGAAATCTGATACTGAATAAAATGAAAAACGACCAAATCCTGATCCTATGCTAACATATTATCAGTTAAATGTATTATAAATTTATGGTACAGAAATTTATGATTCAGAAACTATGATATATCATAGTTTCTGATTGTTTTTTCATTAATTTATCTCAAATAAGTTTCAGAACAATTCTTTGAGATAAGTAATTGAATTTATAGCTGATGACAACAGGTTAAAAATGTTAAAGGATATAGTTAATTTTATCCAGATATTTAGTAGCAGCCGCTGGGATCAAACCTAGGTCTGATATTGAAGTATAGAAAAAGCAAGGTTTTTGTTTGTTGGTTGGTTGGTTGGTTTTTTTTGTTGGATGTGGAGCCTGAACTCTGGGTGCTGTCCCTCAGCTCTTCAGCTCAAGGCAAGTGCTCTACCACTTGAACCACAGCGCCATTTCAGGTTTTTTCTGCTTATGTGGTGCTGAGGAATCAAACCCATGGCCTCATGCATGCAAGGCAAGCACTCTACCACTGAGCCACCTTCCCAGGCCACCCCCCTTTTTTTTAAATCTAGGATTGTTTTCTTCCTTTGAAGGAACAATTGTTTTGCTTCACTAAACAGATACAAGACTAAACAGAATTTATAGACAATATTGAACAGAAATAAAAAAATAGCCATACAATTTTCCAGAATGACTATTGTTCCTACTTAGTAAACAACACCTAGGATGACTACGATAGCTTTACAAATAAAAGGGACAAAAAGGAATGAATCTGACATTTTACAACCAGGGACATCCCTCTAAGCAGAACAACAAAAATAAACCACCTACACATGAAATTACACCTGCTACTGATACTGCTGGTACGTGTCTTGCTTTTACATTACTTTTATGTACCTGAAAAAGAAATGGATGGGCTAGGAAGATGGTTCAGTGGTAGAGTGCTTGCCTTGCATGCATGAGGCCCTGGGTTCAATTCCTCAGAACCACATAAGCAGAAAAAGCCGGAAGTGGCACTATGGCTCAGGTGGTAGAGTGCTAGCCTTGAGCTGAAGAGCTAAGGGACAGTACCCAGGCCCGAGTTCAGGACCCATGACTAGGGGGAAAAAAAGAAATAGCTACTTCCTTTCAGAGAGCAGGAAACGGAACCTCCTTACCTGTAGGGCCTCTAGTCGCATGGGGGATGGCTCATAGGTGCTTCCTGCTGCAGAACCAGCATTGTTACCAGAGCAGGAATCCTCCCTGGGCAGTACAACAATGGAGATGCAAAGTCGGATGAGCCAGCAGGGCTCTGCAGAGCCTTTAGGTGAGCCAACAGATGCTTCTTCCTGAGAGGGCCCTGCAGGGACTTTCTTCCACCAATCAGGAAGGCCGAGGTGAGGAGTTGCTGAATTGCTATTGCTGAGCCCAGAAGAACAGGGCTGTTGTAGAAGTAACTGGACTTCAGGTAAAGGTGCATGAGTGGACACTATAGCTCCCAAGAGGGTAAGACTTGACACACGGACATTAACATCTGTGAAAGGAAGCAGAACTGTGGGAACGACTTTCATGATTGTAAACATTTGTGCAGGCATGCTTGTTTGAGTAAATCTAATTAAACTTCCAGACCTAATTTCAGTTCACAGGAAATACATGCGATATCATCAAGAAACAATCGAGAACATTAGAGAACATTAGGTCTTCTATAAGACAATTGACGTGGGAGTCCTTCAAAATTCAGTATTATGAAGAAGAAAGAAAACACAAAAAAGACTGAAGTGACGTAAAATATAAATTTGGCCAGATGTGGTGGCATATGCTTATAATCCCAGGACTCAGTAGCACATAATGAACACTTAACACTTGTCCTGAAAAAAATCCTCACTGTTGTGTTGCCTTTCTAAATAAGCTTTAGCTTACTGATATCCACAGACTAACTTGCTTGGATTTTGACTTGGATTACACTAAATCTATAGACCAAGTTGAAAAGAACTAACATCTTGCTATTACTGAGTTCTCCTATCCATAAACGTGGACTAGCTCTTCATTTTATTTAGCTCTTTGATGTCCTTCATCAAGTCCTTACAGTCTTCATATACATTTGCATACATTGTTTTAGATTTATTCCTAAGCATTATAAGGTTTGAGCATTTTAACAATGAAAAGTTACTGCAGTTTAAAATCAGACAGTTGAAAAGGACATTTGAGACATGGTCCTTTCTTCCTCAGTTAAAGACACAAGTAAAGAAAGCAAGTGTGATAGAATGAGCAGGGGCTGAGTCAGGAGACTTGGGGTATTCAAATATTGTTTGCCACTAATGTGATGAAAGATCTTAAGGCAGATCTTATTTTTCTATATGCCTATATTACATACTGGTATAAAGAGTGGATACAACTTAAATTTACCTATCAGTATCTCATTTGAGTCTTATGATCAGATCTGAAAGCTTGCAAACAAAAGAACAAATATTCAAAAAGCAGGTATTTATGGCACATAGATATTATCTGTGGGAGTAAGTCAGGAAATGACAAGAAATAAGACTATAGATAGCAATGATTTTCTCTAAATGTTAGAGGAGATGATGTTAAAGAAGTTAGATTTTGTACTATAGGATGGTATCTAACCATCCATCCATCCATCCATCATCTATCTACCTTTGCCAAAAGATATTATACATTTGAAGGAAATCACTTTCACTTGGCTCACTCCTAATTTTAAAGTTATATTCTAACCACTGTCCTAAAACATACAGAGATTAAATTTCACAATGAATTCTTTAGTTCACATCTTTCTGTTGGAGTTTAGAGTCAAAAGTTGCCAACTTTTTCAGTTGGCACCCTTGAAAAGCTGAGAAGAAATAAAGATCTCTCTGAGCTGTAAAAATGCTTTGAATTTTTTTTTTAAATCGAGTAATACACTCATGTAACTGTAACCCTCTGTATAGTATCTTTACAATAAAAAAAAATCGAGTAATATTCTACATTTGATTGGTATAAAAAAGCAATTAGTTAAAAAAACACTACTAACCTTTGTGGCGAATGTAAGGCTTTATCTGGTTCCAGACTTTGGTCAGTAGGCTGAGTTTCAGACGGTTATATGGTACATTTGATACTAAATTTGCAAGGCACTATAAAATATTTTTTTAAAAAGCTCATTAGTTGATAAGCACAAATAGAACTTTTTTTTTTTTTTTTTTTTTGGTCATAGGGCTTGAACTCAGGGTCTGGGAACTGTCCCTGAGCTTTTCTGCTCAAGGCAAGTGCTCTACCGTTTTGAGCAACAGTTCCATTTCTGGTTTTCTGGTGGTTATCTGAAGATAAAAGATTCTTATGGACTTTCCTGCCCAGGCTGGCTTTGAACCACAATCCTCAGCCTCCTGAGTAGCTAGGATTACAGGCATGAGCTGCCAGTGCCCAGCAAAGATACAACATTTTAAACATTTAATTTAAAAGTTTTTTATGCTTAATAAAAATTGGTCTTTTTCTTTTTTTGTCTTTTGAAAAAATAGTATTTGTTTCAGACTTACTACACTGGTACCTTAACACAAAAGTAGTATTATAAAGTATTATTAAAAGCATTTTAATAAATCATGTGGACATACAGAGAGTATAGGACATGGACTTTCAAATACAGTGTCTTTAATAAAACTATTACTTAATTCTATTATTAGATTGAGCTACTTTGGGACTATGCAAAATATTACATAAAAATTGAAACAGAAAAACCCTCTCTGAAACCCAAAGGAACCTGGGACATTTACCTTAATTATCCGAGTTAAGGTCTGGGAAGATGACTCTGCTACCAAAGCCAGCAAAAGACATCTGTGCAACTCCCTAATGCTGGAAGCAATCATTACAGAAAAGGGAGTGAAAGCCCTTCGGTGGTCACTGGTATCTTCCGCAACAGAAAGAAATTGCTTTGAGCTTTCCAAGATGGCAGATAAAACTTGCAGAGCACAGGCACGTGTCTGAAATTTCAGGATAATTTCTACTGGTGAGTTAAAAATCAGAAGACAGATTCTTTTCTTCCCATATATATTTTTCAACATAATTAGAATCATCTTAATTAGGAGAATAAAGGCCATAGAATTATATATCAAGTTCTGAATGCAGCCAAGAACTGGGACATTTGTACCCCATACTTGGAAAAAAAAAACACAAAAAACTTAAATCATATTATTGTTGCTTCGTTTTCTTAAAGTGAGGCATAAATTTAAGTTAGACCACAGCAAAACCCTTTAAATCATAACTATGAGAATAATTTAAGGAGTAGATATCTAAAGCAAACTAAAAAGACAGAATTATCTTTTCAGATCACAGATATCTTGTCTGTTTCCTATCAAAGTTCCTGAGAACAAAGTAAAGCAGAACATTTGGGCCTTTGTGTGCAACCATCTGGCAGGCATCACTACACCCAACATTTGGCAACATTCTTAGGTGTAGAAAATATTGCAGCTTGTAGTAAGTATGTTTGATAAAGAAAGAAGTACCATTAAATGTATTCTTAGAGACGGAAAAAACAAGGTACAGCTCTGTCACAGGCTGATCTGTAAGCTAGGAAAAGTGTTACTGCATCAAGGTTTTCTTTGTGAAAATCTCTATATATAGGTACTCAGATGATTTTGTGGTACTAAAAATCAGAAATGAAACAAAGAATAACAAGAAAGCCAATTTAACTATAATGGAATATATGTAACAAATACTGGACTATTAATATGGAATACTATTGTATCTTCTTTAACCAATTCACTTAAAAATACTAGTTAAAAAATCTTTGGGTCAATTTTTTTTTTCCCGGTCCTGGGGCTTGAACTCTGGGCCTGGGCATTGTCCCTCAGCTCTTCAGCTCAAGGATAGAGCTCTACCACTTGAGCTATGGCGCCAATGCTGATTTTTTCTGTTTATGTGGTGCTGAGGAATTGAATCCAGGGCCTCATGCATGCAAGGCATGCCACTGAACCACATTCCCAGCCCTTTGGATCAATTTTTTGTTGTTGTGGTTGGTCGTGGGGCTTGAACTCTGGGCCTGGGTGCTGTCCCTCAGCTCTTCAGCTCAAGGCGAGTGCTCTACCACTTGAGCTACAGCGCCACTTCCTGGATCAATTTTTTTAGTTTTATTTACGTATTTATTTTGTCAGTCATGAGGGTTGAGCTTGGGACCTGAACACTGTTCTGAGCTGCTCCAGGCTAGCACTCTACCACTAGAGCCACAGCACTAGTTTTCTGAGTAGTTTATTGGAGATAAGAATCTCATAGACTTTCCTGCCTGGGCTGGTTTAAAATTTTGATCCTCAGATCTCAGCCTCCGGAGTAGCTAATATTATAGGCATGAACTATGGAATCAACATTACAATTCAAGGATCTAAACTACATATTTGCTCAACATGAGGAATAATTGAGTTTGGAAAGAAAATGTTTTTCTAGAGAACGTTAACCACATTATCATTGAATAACCAAATCATCAATCAAGTGAGTCCTGAAGTCTAAAGATTTCTTCTCTGAATAGAGACTCATGAATCTGCAGAAATAAGTATAATCACTTAGGTAAGGAATCTGACTGCATTAGGAAGCTGTATTAGTGGAAAGAGCAATACCACAAACATGGTCTAAGACACAGATGGGGCAGCTGGCACTCTTTCTGCAGTAGTACATGGCCTACATTGGAGTTTACAGGTTACAGAGTCTCTGTCAAGTCTTGGGGCTTGAACTCAGGTTCTGGGCACTGTCCCTCAGCTTCTTTTGCTCAAGGTAAAGTAATTTTCAAGGTACTGTCATACTCTACTCTCATAATACAGACAGTATACAAAAGAATAAATGTGGCTATGTTCCAAAAAAACAGACAATGACATCAATAATTAAGTCCATGTATTTTTTATATGTCATGAAATTCTACTCATCTTTCTATAATTAAAAAACTATTTAAAGTGTAAAAGCCACTCCTAGCTTACAGGTCATGCAAAAATAGGTAGCAGGCTAGATTTAGTTTATAGACCATTGCTTGCCAACTGCTGACTGATGTTGATGTGCATTGAAAAAAACAGATGTTAGGCTAAAACTTCATTTCTTTAGAAGGTAATTAAAAATCACAATCCCAAAGGCTCACAAACCAGACAAAATTAAAAATCAAATTGTGGAAAGAAATGAACTGATATTCAAAAAGTCAAACAATTTTAGTTCAATTAACTTTAGAATCCTAAGGGGGAAACATCCATTTTTATCACAGATTGAAATTTGTTATTTTGTTCCCCACTTCAGTATAAAATCTACATAGAAATTAGGTGCCATCTAACATTATACTTTTCATAGCTAATCTCCTTTAAGTACTGTTTAATAACCTTTATTCTAAAGTTATTGTTTGTGATATTGATTTTGGTTCAAGTCTTGCTTCATTTGTTCTTTTATTAGTACTTAATATCCTGTTTACCATTCTGATCAGCACTTGCAGCAGAAATCCTGGATGCACAAGCGAATTATAATAGGTATAACTCTCCAGAGAGCTTATTTGTTGATTGCATTTTACTGTTTGATTGTTTGCAATCCTGGATGACTCTGCAATTATAAGTCTCAGAGGGTACAGTGTACAGTTTCACCTTCTTAGATATGAGGGCTTGTCTAAAGCTAATAAAACAGAAAGGTCCTTTTCTATTTTTGCTTTGATTTTAGAGTCTAGCAGAAATGTTTGCCGAGGTAGCTCATTTACTTTTCATTTTTTCCATTTTCTATGCATATGATCTCAGAATGCTTTTGGAAGTGTGATTAAAAGTCCCTTCTGGGAGTGCGGACTGTTGAGGATCAAACCAGGCCACCAGACTGTTTTCTTCATTTTCTGTAAGTATACCAATTCTTTCTGTCGCAAAAGAGATTCAACCCAAGGTCTTGTGCATGCTAGGCAAGAACTCTACCACTGAGTACACCCCCAGACTCCATATTAGTTATTATTTACATGTTTTCGAGTTCATTTTATTGGATCACACCCCGAAAGTTGGTATTGGCTAAGTGGAGGCCTTTAACACTGTGTCTGGGCCTTCAGAGTTGGAGTCATGCAAGTAGAAGTTATCTACTCTTGGATGACCATATAAAAGAAAACCTGGTTACCTTCTACTTCATAAGTTAAAAATTATAACCTTCTCATTCTCTTTTCAAGTTATACTATGGTATGAATTTTTATTTGTTTCTACCTTTCATAGCTATCTAAAAGAGAAGTTAAAAAAATCAGCATGGAATTTGAAAAGCAGTGTAATTCTGACAGAACCATGAGGAAGATCTGCCCTACAGTTTTTCCTTAGACTAAAGCCTAGATAGATCTCTACAAAATGCCTTTATAACACCTGAGGAAATTATATAGCAGAAATTCTTTTTTCTTTTTTTTTGGGTCCGGTCATGGGGCCTGAACTCTGGGCCTGGGCGCTGTTCCTCAGCTCTTCAGCTCAAGGCTAGCGCTCTACCACTTGAGCCA